GCCGATGGCGGCCCCGGGCGATCCTTTCCCCACCCCGGCAGTGCGGAAGATGCCGGCGGAGGATTAGCGCTGGGATCCGTGATCCGGGGGGACTCCTCCTGCCTGCCTGCCTGCCTGCCTGCCGGGGACGGGCGCTGACTCTGCCCGCGCCTCTCTCGCTCTCCCGGGTTGTATCCGCCGGCGGGCACCGTCGCCTGCTGCTCGCCTCCCGGCGGAACGAGAATTGGGGAAATAACGGCGTTCCTAGAGGGGGTTATGCAATGGTGAACCATCAGAAGCCGCCTCCCGAGCCCGGGGAACGGCTTAGCACCGAGGCGGCTTCAGTGGTATCCTCAAGGGATTTCTGGGACAGTGGATTTGAGGGCGCAGGACAGGGAACCTAGTGGCAAAAATCCTCTTTGGAAAAGACAAGAAGTGGAAAAGCGATAAATGTGTGTGTGTGTGTGTGTGTGTGGGCTTAGCACCGAGGCGGCTTCAGTGCTGCAAGGATTCCGATCTGCCCTTTTGGGGATTATTAGCATGTGTCTGGGGATATAATATTCTAGAGAGGAGGAACGTTTATTGCACACTACCTAAAAGAGTAAGGAAATAGGGCACGTGGGATTTTTTTTGGAGACCCAAGCCCTCTAGAATTCTGTTTATAATGGGCCTCTTCTTAGAGACTGATCTGACAGTCTTTTTAGAGGTACACCTAAGAGAACTGGGACAGAACACCCCCTTTCCGCACAATGCAACATTTTGGATCATCTGTCATTTGGTGTTCTTTTTAGCTGTGCGAGACTACAACTCCCATCGTCACCAGACAGCATGGCCGTATGGTGATATGGAAAAGCAATCTGACCTGGTGGAAGGCAGCTTCCAGTTGTCCTGTCTTTTTATTACTTTATTTACTTCTTACTGTCTATTTATTTATATTATGACACAAAATTATGTCTCCTATTTTAAGAACGTAGTTTCTTCCAAGATGGATCATAAAGCTATATGGAAAACACAGTAGTCAACTTGCAATATGCCAATAACAACAAAATAAAGCATTACATGGTACTGCCCTCCTTTTAGGAATGCTATTATTTCTTTTCATTTCAGGGTTTGCACATTAGTGTGGAAGAGGGCGTACCTCAGATAAAGGATTTGTAACAAGCTGTTGTTTACAATACAACCTAGATGGAAAGATTCCAGCAATGAATGCTATTCTTCTGGACTGAGCTCTAGGCAAAGTTCCTTAAGGACAATGTTCTCCAACCTGGTATCCTCTGAATCCTCTGCAGTTCCCACAATCTCCAGTCAGCATAGCCAAACACTCCCACAATAAGTGCATTACAGTGAGTGTCAAGACTACTTTGGGAATTGCAGGAAAGTGAAGGACGAAAAACAATACTGTCAGAAGCCTATAGTTTTTGTAAACTTTTGTTTCAACCATTTCCTTTGGGTGGTATCAAAATCAGGCACCTCAAAGTATTTCTTGCTATTCCCAGATATGCCTCTTCATATTTTACTGACCTGCTTGCCTGCTGTATATTTGTAGCAAACTCCTCACTGCATTTGCCAATCTTTTGTGCCACTGCATTAATAAGGCTGAGGTTCAGCATCCCATCATCTTGCAATTAGTTGGACTATTGATCCCTCCGCTTGGTATTGCCAACCCTGCAGAACACAGTTCTCTAAGGTTTCATGGCTTCCCAGTCCTATGTAGTAATACTTGGGATTGGCATTTGTCATACAAAACACCTGCATGGCTAGTTATTTTATGATTAGACTGGCTGTTGCTGTGGGAGGCAGAAAACTACCCTCTTGAGGAAAACTAATCCTATAAACAAGCAACCTTACTCGTGTAACAGATAGGCTGTATTTAATTTTTGTTTTTAAATTTTTAGTACATTTGTATCCTGTTACAAATTACATTTGAGTAATAATGTTAAGTTTTTAATTTCTTTACAGTTTGATGCTGAATTCCGCCGCTTTGCGGTGAAGCGCTCGACCGTGGGTGGCTTCCAAGAATTCTACCAGCTGATTCAGAGAGTCCACCAAATCCCATGTGTGGATGTCCTGCTTGGATATACAGACATTCATGGTGACCTGCTGCCCATCAATAATGATGACAATTACCATAAGGCACTCTCATCGGCCAATCCTCTGCTCCGGATCATCATCCAGAAGCGAGGTAAGGAAACACTCAAGGAGGTAGCAAATTTTCTTTTCTTGACTCAGCAAAGTTATTTTGTGTCATTCTTTTGTTTCTTCATGTCCTTCAATCAGGGAGCTTAGAGCAAACAGATCTAGACTACAGCGGATCACTGGGTGACTTACAATAGTTCAGCAAAGCTTTCTGTATCTCAGCAGTTTAACAGCAGCAAGTAAAAATGAAATTAAAAATTAGTTTTCTGTCCAAAATTAAGGATGGAAGCAAAATCCATCTGATTCACAATTTAGCATGAACCAGCCTAATTCACTTTTCCTGAACCAGAATATACTTTGAACCAAAATATACCTACCTGTCAAGTGTTCATACTTCTCTAAATTTTGCAAAAGCCTGCCAAGCAAAAGATAGCACTCCAAAATAGATGCATTAGAAAAAAATAGATGCATTTTATATATGCATATGATTTTTTTTTTGTATTCCCTAATTGTGAACTGATGCAGAAATGGAATGGAACAACTTGTCCTTCAAAAAGTGTAAAAAGCACAACAGAGAAATTTGTTAATTTGTTTGTACCTGTGGGTAGCCTTGAGTCTGTCCCTTACCTCCTTGTCTTCATGTTTTTCTGTAAACTGGTTCTTTGGCCAAAAACCTCTATTTTGGGCTGTGTTTAAAATTTCACATCTAGAGCAATTCAGATATAGCCTGAAATCCTGTTGCTTAGTGTAGCAAGTAAAGCAACTAAAGTAGGCCCACTAAATCAATGGAACTTAAAGAGAAATTGGTTCACCAAATCTCCATTGAGTCAATAGGCCTACTTTAATTGCAATTTACTATGCTTAGAAATAGTAGATCAGCCATAGATTTATACATGTAATTTAACACATGCAGTCTCCTGCTGGCATGCTGCAGAAGACTGGGGTGGGGTATGGGGTTCTTTTTCAGATCAGGAGTTGGATTTCTAATTTGTTCAGGGGCTGAAAGGGCACATTCCAGCACTGGGCAAAATTAAGGGCTCTCTGACTTCCAGTGTGGATAAAGTGATGGACTAGGACTATGGAGACTAGGTTTCAAATCCCTGCTCAGCCATTTAAATTCACTAGGGGTGTAGAACTGGTAAAGCCACTGCTTAAATATCTCATGTACCTTGAAAATCCTGTTAGGGTTCTGTAAATCAGTTCCAACTTGACGGCACACACCAACTAAAAACCAGTTACAGTCTATGGGACCCATAACAAACTGGGCTGGCCAGATGTAATTCGTACTCATTTTTACTTTTCCTCTCCAATTATATAAAGTGCACCTCAGTTCTTTGCATATCTACTCAGAAAGCTCCAGTGTGACAAGCTCTGTGCCTCAGAATTCAGCTTTGTGAAGGCATTAATGCAATCCCTGGGATTTGAATAACTTCTGGATAGTTGAGTAGCTTAAGCATCTGGCTGCAGAGCCAGAAGTTGGGAGTTTGGTTCCCCACTGTACTTCCTTTTATGGGGCTGGATTTGATGATCCATATGGTCCCTTCTAGATCTGCAGTTCTAAGGTGATGATGATGTTGATGATGATAATAATAATAATAATCTATCACTGACTCGAGATAAGAGCAAAGGAAGGTATAGATCAGGTGAGGGAAGCCTTAGAGATTGTGTTTGGCCAAAGGGCCAGAGATTCACCTGAACAACATACTTAGCTCCGCTCCCTTAACTAGTATGTATTGTACATCTGAATCCTCCCTGCTCCTGCCATGGTCTGACACCTTGCTCTAATTAATGATCCTCTGCTGCTCTAATTAAAAAAAACAAATTAGATATCAGAAGACTGAACTGTGTACCCATTTGTTCAAAGTGGTGTATATCACTCTGCTTCCCTTCTGCCCCTTCCATTTTATCTTTACAATGAGACTGGATAGCCCGAGAGTGTGAGAATTTGAATCTGGATTGTCCTGAGCCTCATATGTTATCTTAACCATTAAATCTCAGTGCTTACCTGCTGAGAGCTATTATCTGTTGGACCATAAATGAGGACGATATGTTGTTGTTGTTTAGTCGTGTCCGACTCTTCGTGACCCCATGGACCAGAGCACGCCAGGCCCTCCTATCTTCCACTGCCTCCCGGAGGTCTGTCAATTTCATGTTGGTTGCTTCGCAGACACTGTCCAGCCATCTCATCCTCGGTCGTCCCCTTCTCCTCTTGCCGTCACACTTTCCTAACATCAAGGTCACACTTTCCTAACATCAAGGGACGATATACTCCATGCTAAATTCCATACTATTCAGATTTATTTGATATAAATTAGAAGCAAAATCAGAATTAGAAGCAAAGACCTTTGTTTCTGTGTCTATGTCTACTCCATAAGCTGTCAACAAGGGAATGACTAGAGCAATGAAGCTGTCCCTATAATGACTAGAAATTTTGCTCAGCCTTGCTTATAATCACAATCAAGACTTCAGCAAAAGAAAGTGTTAAATTTTTTCCTTGGTCCCAGCATTAGCAGTATCACCAAAATTGGACATAAGGCAAGGGAGAGTGTGGTTCATTCCTGTCTCTAATGTGTTCAAGCATTTATTTCCATAGTTTGGCAATGGCATTTCTTTTCTGAATTTCACACAGAATAATGCATTAGTATTTGGGTCTGTCTGTTCTGGCATTCTGCTTCTATGTAGCTAAGTGGTTTTCTGTCTTTAGTCCTCCAGATGTTTTGGACTTCAGCTCCCGAAGCCATTATCAGCATGTTTAATAAGAGATTGTAAGAGTTGAGGCTCAAAACAGCTGGAGGACCCAAGGTTGGAAACCACTGGTGTGGATGACTTAGTGTGTGAGTCTGGAAATCAAGCATACTAACAAAATCCACCTGTTACCATCCTCTCCTCCCTTCACAAGATTGAGTCAAACACCTGCAATCTTCTACCTAATTTTCTATGCCCACATTAATAGCCCACATTAATTCTTCACTTCAGAGATTCTCTCTCATCATGTGGGGATGGTGGTGTTATGGAATGGAGCTTTGCGCTTTTGCACTACAGGTGCTATACTACCTTGAGAATTCCAAGTGTTGTAATCCAAAAACATGAAGTTCTGTATCTCTAGTAATGATTTGTCTATGTCAGGATGGCAGGCCTCTTGTCCTCTGAATTCTTTCGGGCTACAAGTCCTGTCATCTCTTACTATTGGTCTGGTTGGAATTCTGGGAGATGAATTCCGAAACGCCAGGATACCCAGAAGTTTTCTACTGCTGATCTGTACAGGAGCAATATTCTGGAATAGGTCTTCACTTCTATTCAACAGTATTAGCCTTCTGCCTTCTGCAAACAAAAGGGCCTGTGCAAAATTAGCATGCTTAGTATTGTCCTTAGGAGGAGGGATTTTGTTCTAAAATTGGAAGAAATGTTTATTCCCATGAGCATTGCCTCTACTGCTCAACCCACATGAAATTCCACACCGGTTTGTCTTTTGGGCTGTCTATGGCAATAAATAATTGTACAAGCGGTTCTTTTAATAGCTTCACCAAATCTTGCTTTTCTCCCTGCTTGTCTGGAGACTGGAGCAGCCATCAACACAAAGTGAACTCAGCACAGGAAGTACACCCTTAGAGTCACAGTGGTGGTTACCTTCTGCGCATTTTCTGTCATTACCATCTATACCCATTATTCCTCTGCCCTTCAGGAATAATCACTATGCTTTTTCTGCCACTCTGAGCAACTGCCTTCAACATTTTCCATCTGTAGTTAAGATGTGCAAATATAGAAAGGGAAAATTTATGGATGTTTGATAGAAACAAAGTAATATTTTATTTTAATATAAGATATAAATGAGAACTAATGTGGTGTAGCAGTTAGAGTGCTGGACCAGAGTTTGAATTTCCATTGTGTTATGAAACTGACTGCATGGCCTTGGGGTAGTCACACCAGACCTATCTTATCAACTACTATTGTGAGAATAAAGAGGGAATGAGCCTTGTGTCTATTGGACAAAAGGGAATATATACATGAAATTAATATACTAAGATTTAAATGTATGTATGAAAGAGTTAACATTCTGTCTTCATCCTCCTTTGCACAAACGTTTAGCTGAAGAGCAGAATAGCAAAACAGAATTCAACAAAGAGTTTTGTGGGAGTTGAAATGTTAGCAAGTTGTATTTAGCTTAAGCTTTTGTGAACTGAAGCTGTTACTTCCTTAGGTTATACTCAAACCTAGCTATTGGTTTTTCTTCACTAGACTACAGAATAACATGGTGGACTCTCTGGAAAAAAATAGGATGCAGGTCCTGTCTAGATAATATATGATTGTATGCTACTAGGTTATATAAGCTAACTCTATCTTCTACTTCTGTTTCTAGTCAACATAAAAACCTGCTATTGTCTTAGACACTTTTCCCTCAAAACTTCTTCCCCCTTGCTCTGCTCCCTAATTCTTTTTATTATGCTATACAGTATTTTTATTGTATATAACAAAAAATGGCAAAATGAAAGGAAACAAGATTTAAAATATACTAAGATACTAAAGAATAAAAAAATTCCTCACACGTGAATTACTGTACATAATATCAGCTCAATAAATATAACTAAATTAGTGCATCCGTCACCAGGACCAATAGAGATACAGTATATTTCCTTCACAGTCCAATGTTTATGGTTCCCTACACTGTACCCCCCTCCAGAAGGCCATTATCTCTTGTTTGGGTAATTGGCCTTCCCCTTTCAATAATACAAAGTCCAAAAAACCTTACCATATATCTACAAAATTATTCTCCATTATCTTCTCCTTTTTTGTCCTATGACATATCAACTTATCACTAATTACTAATTCCCAAACTTAGGTAAAGGTAAAAGTTCCCCTTGACATTTAGTCCAGTCGTGTCTGACTAGGGTGCAGTGCTCATCCCCATTTCCAAGCCATAGAGCCAGCGTTTGTCCAAAGACAGTTTCCGTGGTCAGCGCGACTGGACACGGAATGCTGTTACCTTCCCACCAAGGTGCTACCTATTTATTTGCATTTTTACATGCTTTTGAACTGCTAGGTTGGCAG